CGGCGCCGCACCGTCATCATCGTCATCATCGCAGCCATCACCACCCGTAGTGGAGTCGCTGGAGTCAGTGAGTTGATCGGTAAGCCAAAAGGATAAACAATGGAACAGGAGGGAGGTGGATGGAGCACAGCGGATACGGCGAGAGAGAGCAGACAACATGAGGAGAGGGCAGCAGGCCCAGCCGCACAGTTCACACACCACGAGAAAGCATCCACCACCATCTCCTCCCAGCTCATTTCCACAGCCAAAGGGAAATGGCAAAAACCCGCGGCCACCACACAACGCACACGGAGCAAGCACCCACCACAACAGCCACACGCGCAAGCGAACCCTCATCCATCCATGACGCGGCACCAAAATTTCCTGCCATCCCGCCCTCAATGAAACACGGAGCCCAACTCAACGCAGTCACACGCGGTGCACCACACCCGCAGGAAAAGAGACTCGGGCTGCGCACTCCCTCTCCTCCCTTCTCCTCATGGCCACGGAAGAGAACAGCCGCCACACGCAACTGCCAGCATGCACTGCAAAAGGAGCATTCAAACCCACTGCAATGTGCATCTTGTGTGTGTGTGGTTGTTGTGTGCCTGCAGAAACACAAAGCAATGAAGTATAAAAAAGGGAGCAGAGTATGTGGAGGGACGCACAACAATGTACAGCAGAGACGCATAACGGAAACAACAAGAAGAAGACCGCTCAAACTCATGACTGCACTGCAGCCCAAGCAGTGCCAATTCACACAAGATTTATTTAAAACAAAAAAAACTTTCCCCTTCGTCTTATATAAACCCCATCGCACAAAATAATTATAAATGAAAAAGAAATCGCCCATTATTGTTCCACACAAAATAAGAAAAAAGCAGCCGGCTGCCTTATAGCCCTACCAAACTGTCTGCATACATTTTGCCCGCAAAAGAAAATTAAATAGTTGCATGTCTTTCAACCGTCTGACCCTCCATGTGTCCGCACATCGTTTATATTTCACGGGGTCATCTGCGTGTTGCTGCTCCCCTCAGCCCTCTCATCGGCGTGCGAGTGCGGCCCGCAGAGCACAGTCACTCGTGTGTGTGGGGACTGAGAGAAGCACGCAGACATGACGGGAGTCGCGTCACTCCACCGGGAGAGTGAGCGCAGCAAAAGAAAAAAAAAATCATCGGAGGGGAGAGAAATGCTGACGGAACTGCCGGCGCGTGAAATGCACACGCAAAGCAAAAAGAAAAAAAAACACGGCGGCAGGGTGTGGCTGTGTGTGTGTGGCGCTGCGGGTGTCTGCCCGCCCTGGCCGCAAAGAAAACAAAACAAGAGGGAAAGAAATGTGTGCTCCGCCTCACAGGTCCTCGTCGCACGCCCACACGTCACGGCTCCCTCAGCGCGCCGTTCGTCGCGGCCCCTCCTCATGCGTGCAGCAGGCGAGGCGCACAGGGCCGTCGTCATGAGCGTGTCGGTGGGTGTGCGAGTGGAGCGGTTGGGCGGAAACACACGGCACCCCTCACAGGAAGAGTGCAGAAGAAGCAAATAAAAGAGGGAAGAGTAGAAAAGAAAAAAAGTCCATAGTGATTGCCCCCAAAAGCAAAAAAGAGAAGGGATGGGGGGAATAAAAAAAGAAAAAAATTAACAACAATTAAACAATAAAAAACAGTTACGGTGCTCCGCCCATGCAGCCAGGCAGGACGGCAGCGGTGCGTGTCGTGCAAAAGAGAGCACCAACGGGCCTGCATGGGTGTGCATGCAATATATACAATGGGCACATTGTGTGTGTGCTTCGTGGGGTGAGGTGAGGGCGAGAGTCCATGCAAGGGGACACACACAGAGAGTGAGAGAAGGACGAGTGTGTGTGCGGGCGGTGCACGGCTCTCTCTCACTCACTCTCACGCGGCCACCACCGCAGCAGCCGCACACGCAACAACAAGAAGAAGAAGAAGCAAAAGAGGGGAGGTGGTGTGCGAGACCTCGGTGGTGCTGTCACTGTCGCCAGGTGTCGCCGTATTACTTTGCACAGCTGCAGATACAACTTTTGTTGTGTCTTCATTCCCAGCTGTACTCTCACGGTGTTTTCCTTCACCGTTGAATGGTGCACCAGACATTTGCGTATTTATGGAGGTCTCTTCTGGAACCTCGTTATCCAAGCTTCCGGTGGTTTCACTGCCACTGGGAGATGAGGACTGAGATGTTTGTTCCTGACTGCTGCCTGACAATGCATTCTCTGCAGGAATTGTGGCGGGTGCAGCCACTCTCTGGGATTTATCCTCGTGTGATTCAGCCGTATTTGTTGGATCTTGCGGTGTTGCTGGTGCTTCCTCCGTGCCTTCCCGTGATTCGGCCGACTTCAGTCCTGCTTCTGGTGTACGTTCTTCTTTTTTGTGGATCTTTTTGTCTTGCACGTCCACTCGGTGTTGATGCGATCCCTCCGCCGCTGCGTCACCTGCGGGCACATGACTGCATTCGCCCAAGGCAGCTTGGCCTTCGCTGCAGCGCCCCGACTCTGGGTGATTCCTTTGCTCTGCTTCACTGCGAACGTCATCGGAATGCTGCTGTTGGCCAGCACCACCCGCTGATCCGTGAATTTGGGCATCGACACCACCAATCACATTTAAAGGAAGCGGAGGTGACAATACGGCAGTATTCGCGCCGGCGGCCTTTGAAGATTTCGCTCTTGAGCTGCCAACTGACGCTCCCGTATCCCTCGAGATGTCAGACTCTCTGTGAGCTGCGCTGTCTTCCTTCGTCTTTTCTTTCTTCAGCGCATCTGCAATATTACTCCTCAACGTCTTTAAACACGTTGTTTTTTCATCGTCCTGTTTGCAGTATTTCTCCTTAATCTCATCATCAGTCTTATTCGCGAGCAAACTCAAAGCCTCCACATATGACTTACTGCAGAATTCATCCTCCAAAGCTCCCTCACAAAAACCACCGCCGGCACCGCACCACAGCACGCAGAGGGCACACACCAGCAGCACACGGCCAGTCATCATCATCGCCATCACTCCTGTCACTTGCGTGCAGCCTTCAGCACAAAATAACTCCCCGTCAACGCAGAGTGAAATCGAAAGAAGAGACAAGTCACACAGCCACGCACCGTTCCACCTAGCAATGAGAATCACGCACAGTAACAAATGACAGCAACGCAAACAAAAATGAGACAGATGCAATTATTACAATTCCAAACCTCGAACACCGCCCACAAAATCGGAAGTTCTAAAAAACAAAAAGCAAAAATTAAAAAAAACAACATATTCAAAGTTCCGCTGCGCACGCCTAAGTGTGTGTTCGGGATGCGTTCAAAGTGACGGATGTGGGGAACAACGCGAGCACCAACAGGGCGCACAGCAGACGGCACGTCATCATCATCGTGAGTGTGGTCGTTCAGTGGTGTGGAGTTGATCTGCACAGTGAGGGACATGGAGAGCAACAGGGAGACGAGAGGTGCGGCAGACACACACAGAGGGCACACCACATGAGGAGAGGGCAGCAGCCAGGCATGCACCGTACGCCGCACACCACGCACGACACACACTCCAATCCACGGCAGCAGGCACACACACACACACAGCCCTGCCGCAGCACCAACACACAGATGGAAGAGGGAGAAGCAAACAGGAGCGGCCCACAAGGCTCCACCGCATGTGCATACGGCGAGAGCGGTCCGTCGTGTCTGCACCCCTCATGAAGGGTACGCACACACACACGAGAATAGGTGCAGCGCACACAGCAACACAAAAGCAAAGTAACAATAAAAGAAGGAATGATCCCCGCACACCACGTGGATTGTTGTTCCACGGGAAGTGCAGCCAATATTCATCACAAAGCAGCTTGTCATTTTGTTGTTGTTGTATGCTGCTACAATAACGAGTGAGTAGCGCAAGGGCCGTCCGTACAAAAGTGGCAAGTATTCCGTCGCAAACGGGCCGTCGTGCGGGCTGGGGCAGTCAAAATTCCCAACGACGAGGGCATTCCCGCAGTGGATGAAGCGGAGTCTCCCGTGGTCCGTCGGGGGATCAGCAGCCCGTGGCGTCTCTGATGAGGCGGTGGCGGAAGCCCCTGTTCTATCTCGAGTACCCGCGTTTGTGCTTCCTGCGTGTGTTGCCTGCTGGCATGCCTGGCAAATTCGGTGGCGACCTGCGCGCGAGGCGCCTGCTAAGAGGACGGTGGCGCCATTGTGGCATCCGCATGCGAGGCCCTCTCCAACTATCGGAACGCCAGGCCGAGTACGTCGGGCATGTGCCCTCATATTGTGGACGGAAGAATGCGCTCCGCCAAAGATTCGGCAGGAGGACGTCAATCCGCCGCTCGCTGGTGGGCAAGGAGCTGCGGTGCTCACGTCGGGAAGAAGCTCCGGCAGAGGCGGGCCGTCACCCTCGGTTAGGAAGGGACGGCACAGCCGACACAGAAGGGTTGCTTGTGATCCGCAGGGCGTGCGCAGGCCTGTCGAAGAGTGGGCAGGAGTCGCACCGCGCCTGCGCACCGTGCCGCAACTCGGGGAACGATTTCCGTGTCGACACCAGAAATAGAGTTCTGCCACACCGACAGGCGCCTGTCATGCGGTGTGCGCGCCTTACTTTTCCTCCTGAACATCGTTCCAGCATAACCTTTTGACTGCAGTGAGGAAGTCCACGTTCCAGGCATTGACGCAGTCCTGCGAGAGGGATCGTGCCATGATGGCGTCAGCGTCCGCTGTCACGCTGCGTGGGATTCCGCAGTGTCATGGGAGAAATGTGGAGCCAACCGCGCGGCCTCAATCCACCAGTGAAAGTGGCACGGCACGAATCTCCTTGCCGACGTCGTCGTGCACCGCCAGCGCGTCAAGGCATAGCGCCTCCATCGCCGAGAGGGAGTCTGTGGCGGTAGGAACTCGTGTGGGCGATTGGGATGCTGCTACCAGGCGGGAAACTGGGAACTGTCCGTGGCCATGCTCAGTGGCAGGACACTCCGCTCGGCTGGAGCATGCAAGGCTGCCAGCAGCTGTGCGGTGAGGCCCCCAGGGAGCTCGGCTGTCCGGAGAGTCAAACGGCAGCGCAGCGGATCCAGATACATGGTCCTAGGGAGGCGCAGGCCGCTTCAACGGCCGATCGTCTGACACCGTCCAGGGCGTCCCTGGCGTGCCGTGGCTGGAGGACGCCCAACCCGCTGCAGCTCACAGTACCCCAGAAAACAACGCGGTGCTCAGCATGAGGGGCGCGGATGTGGTGCGGGGAGATCCCCATGTGGCGGCGGACGCGTCGCAGTCCGTTGAGGACGGCATCTCCCGGCAGAGAAATGGTCGTCGCTGCCTTCCCAAGTATTGGCAAAGGTGCGGTTTCCAAGCGGATTGCGCCACGCACGTCCTCAATATACCGGAGACGCGTGAGGCGTTCGTGCTGTGTGGGTGCGCGAAACCCAATGATCCTCCGCAGCGGTGCTGGACTGGCTGCCATGTGGGCAGAAGTATCCTTCGTTGATGCGCGTGGGACGAGCGATGCTGTGCAGCTGTCGCCGTGCCGCACTTCCAGGCTGTGGAGGTGAGTGGGAGCTGGACACGGTGCGATTTCCTCGCCGCCGTGGTGCAACGCAGTGTGGACGCATCCAACCAGACAGGATCGCATGGTGTGCTGGGACGCACCAGCTCCTGCGCCCAGCCGCAGCTGACGGCGGCGTGGCACGGTCTGCCCTGCAGCGGCGGTGACGTGCAAAACGAAATTGAGGTGTCGATCAATCGCATTGCCGAGCAGACGCACCAGGTGCGACTTGACGCGTGGGTTCCCACCGCCCAGACGATGGTCGGCAGCGTCCTCGTCAGAATGTCGGTGTGAAGCGATGCGGAACAGAGCGACCCCGTTCCCGTCGGCGTCGATCCTCAGGCTGTGCTCGGCAGACCATGTGGCCACAGCGGACACGGCAGTCGACATTGCCGCAGCACACGCACACACACGCCATGCCGCACACAAGCGGGCTGCCCCTGCACTGCTAGAGGAGCTCTCAGCGCGCTTTGGAATGTCGCAGCGGGCACCATTGGACTCGGTGCGTTGGCGCCTGTGGCTGCCGTTGGCGACGCTCCGATCCGCTCTGTTGGAAGTGCCGGCGTGGTCGTGGGATGGCGGGAGAGCAACGGCGGACACGGTGACCTCTACGCGGCGAGTTCACAGTAACTTCCTTGGCCAGTGGCAGTGCGGATGGAACGATCATAATGATCGCACCGCCGGCACGCTTGTTGTCGAGTTCCCCGAAAGGACAGCAGTGAAAGAAGGTCCGTCCACATGACTCTTTGCATCTCCGCTTCAGGGCTGCGCATCACAATTGGAGTTGCCGTGCGGTTATGCAACAGGGTATGATCTGCTGGGAGAGGGCGCTGTGCGATGCTCCTGCACCTGGGACTGGTGCTGTGCCGTTGGCGGATGTTGAGTGGCCGATCATACAAATATTGCGACACCACGAGAAGAGCAGACCAAACACTCCGCGTGGAGGGAGCGTTTCGGCCGATAAGGAATGTGTGCGACGGTGATGGACGCTCAGTCAACGACGGATAGAAGGTTTCTCCCATTGACGGAGTCGGTGCACATGCTGTGTGTATGGCCGCCTCTGTGGTTTCCTGTTACTCCGCTGCGTGGGCCGCATTCTGACGCATTACTGGCTCAAAGCCATTTTGATTTTCCTACTCTTTTTTTTCCTTTGTTTCTTTCCTCCCGCATCCAGGCTGCACTGCCGCTGCTGCTACTCACACGAAAACAAGAAATGCAGTTTCCTCAATTCATGCGCCAGCCACGCCGCGCTACACCGCTTTTCCCATTTCTGGTGTTGCTGCTGATGTGCTGCGCCAGTGGGTGTATTGCTGATGCACCCGCCCCACAGTACCGCTGTGGGTTTGACGTGATGATGAGGAGGAACGGCCCGCTGTCGACTGCAGTGGTGCGTGAGGTGCCGCGCAATGGACAGGGCGAGATGCAGGCGTACACCGTCGCCACACAGGATGACGACAGTGGCTGGGAGCCGATCCGCATTGCGGTTTCCATGGAAGATCTGGAGAGAGGCACGAACAAGAAGAGGAAGTACTGCGAAGAGGGAGAGGATGAGTGCTACAACGCCTTGGGGCAAAAGGTGTCATGCAAAGCAGAGCATGTCTTGACGGAGACAAAGACATAATCGCACACTCGAAAGATTCTCCCTGGTGCTGTCAAACTGCACACTGAGCGACTCCTTGTGAAACCCACTGGTGGGACGATAACTTTACCGAGGGCTATGAATGGACCGTGCAGCCACTTTACGATTCCTACCAGGCACAAGAGTGACGGTGTGCCGAATGCAGATTTTATCATCGACGCTGCTGCTATGCCATCAGGCACGAATAGCAGGGCTGTGTGGGCGGCCACGTGTAACACATTGACGGATTTTCGCCCTTCCATTGGCGCCATGAACTTTGATCCGAAGTACATGACTGACACGGCGTGGAGCGTTCGCGTTGCCGCACACGAAATTGCGCATGCACTTGGGTTTAGCCAGGAGAGCATGAGAGAAAAGAGTCTGGTGAAGAAGCGAGAGAGAAGTGTGCGTGGGACGCACCGCAGGATGGTGGCAGGGAAGCACGTTCAGGAGAAAGCGAAAGCGCACTTTGGTTGTGACTCTCTCGAGGGCATGGAGCTGGAGGACGAAGATTGCCCTCGGGAAAAAGCGATTCTTCACTGGAAGGGACGCCACGCGCGGGACGAGCTGATGGCCCCCGCAGTCGGTGCCGGCTACTACACGGCTCTGACGATGGCGGCTTTTGCGGATATGGGATAATACCGCGTGAATTGGAGCATGGCGGAGCCGATGAGCTGGGGCCACCGCAGTGGCTGCGACTTCCTGGAGAAGAAGTGCAATACAACCGATAACCTTGCCGCCAAGTATCCTCAAATGTTCTGCGATGCTACCGACACAGAGACGCTTCGCTGCACCTCCGACCGCCGTCACGTTGGGACGTGCACCGCAACCATTGTTGAAGACAAGGGGAGTCTGGTGGATAAGGACGTTTGCCCTGTCGTATCTTCCGAATTTCACGAAATATCGTCTGGGACAACGTACAGGACGTGCTTGGACGAAAATGTGTATTATCTCCCTTGGTCGCTGACTGGCGGCGGCTCGTGGTGCCTGGACGCGGAATTACTGGAGACGAAGGACGGTGATGGCCATAAAAGCGTCAAGGGAGTGTGCGCGCAGGTGTCGTGTGAGGAGGGCACAGTGAAGGAGAGGCACCTCGGCAGAAGTGGTTTTCAGCCTTGCACTGAGGACACTGACATCCCAGTGACGTTGAAATATTTTAGGAAAGGTGAGAAGATCAAGTGCCCACGTACGGCGAGGTGTGCACCATTGCCGCCAACGGCAGCAGTCTTGTCATTCCGAGTGCGTTGGTGGGTGGACAGGGTGACGAGCAAGAGGAGGAAGCAGAAAAGTCTGCGGTTGCTTCAGGGTCGCCTTCTCCGGAGGATACTCGTCCACAGTTGTCTCCTGTGGCGTCTGGTGCCTCCATTGATAAGGAGCCTCCCGGTGCTTCGGCTGCGGGTGTCGCTGGTGGTGGCCTTCATGCCGGTCTGAGGGGTGATCCGGGGGTGCGGACCGAAAGTGAGGACAACACTCAGCTGCGAGGGAGGAGACCTGGCAGTGGAAGCGAGGGAGCCAACAGAGCCTCCGGCCCCGACGCTTTTTTTGCGCCATCACCCGGCGAGGACGTTGCACGAGCGGAGGGCGACCCACGGGCGGATTGCCCAGCAGTGATTCCCAGTGCCTCCGCGCCTGTCACTTCGGTTCCGTCCGTCAACAGCAACGATTTTCAGACGATACCCGATGCGTTGGTACAGCAGGCCGACAGTGATGGCGGTGTGGCTGCTGCTACTGCTGGCCTCATTCCCTTTGTGCTTCTTGTTGTGGTCGCTGCGGCGGTAGTGGTGGTGCCTCTTTGAGCAGCCGCGGCGGCTGGGCGCAATCAAACTGCGGCAGGGCTACAGTATTTAATTGGTACATTGGCCCCGCACTCAAGATGTGCAAAACCGTAGCTATAACAGTATAATACACTTACTGCATTTCCCATTTCCTTTTTTGCTTGCAGGGGATGGGCAAAATGACCGGTTTTTATTGCATTGTTTGTTATTCTGGGAAAATGTATTTTTGTTTTATTGCTTAGAGGGTTTAACTTCCGTGAAAACTGTGTGTGAACGAAGTAACATGGAGAGAAAGGACAGGTCCCAGCACCACATGTATACACACGTTTTTTGATGCGATTGGGACGAGGGGAAATCACCGTACTCTAATCATGAGTAAAAAGTAAAGGAAATGTGTTCCAATGGAGGCGGGGTCGTGCCAGTAGCTGTTTTTCTCAAGGACAAGGACGACTGCCTCTGCCTCCGTAATTGGTGCATGCGGCTTTATCTTTTACACCTTTGCTTTTTTTTGTGACCTTGCTTCTTTTTTGTGCGTCATTGCGAGAATGTGGACCCAAAATAATTTCTATGCTTTGGCTTTTAATTTGTATGCGCCCTTTTTATTTTTCTGCCTTCCCGATTTTTTGCATCCGTTTTTGATTGGCTGTGTGTGTTTCGGGTGCTCTGCTGCACTGTGGGTAGTGTGTCTTACTTCCTTCTCTCCCTGCTGTTCTGATTGTGAAAACACGTTGTGGGTCAGGGTGCATGGCTCCGTGGTTGCGGCAATACTTGTTGTAGTTGCATTGGGGCAGCCCCGACAAGACTGCCAACGTGTGGCTCTTGGGTGTCTCGTTGGGCTCATTTTCGTCTCCTGCGCGATGGACTCCCATCGTCGGCGCATCCTTTCGTGCAGTGGCGTCAGCGCAACAAGGTGGCAATGTTGTTGTTGTTGCAGCTTCAGCTGTTTTGTGTTTCCCTCTGGTATTGTGAGGTGCAGGTGTCGGATGTGACGGCAATGAGCCGAAGATAAGGAAGGAGGAGGATGGTGCGTGCGTGCGTGAGGGCCCTGCAATGTTGGAACGGTGCGCACTGTTTGCGGGCTTGATGCGTCCCTTTGGTGCATGGCGTGTCTTGGTGTGTCCCTCTTGCCGTGTGTGGTGCCAGCCGGCTCTTCACGATTGTGGCAATGGCGTGTTGACAACTGTGTTTGGGTTGGCGCTGGCTGTTCCACCCTCTGGGGCTACGATGACGTATGCGTCACGATGAGCGACAACAATCGCGCACGACGCCTGGTCTGCAGACAAGTGACGCACCGACTGCCGACGCGACGCGGCCCTCTTGCCTTTTTCGATCCTTTGTTAGCCTACAGTCTGATGTCCAGCCGTAGTGGTCTCCTCTTTTCTCACTCCTTTTGTCTGCGACCGCATGCACTGACCATAACAATTGCACAATATAATTATTAAAGAGTGCAGGTTTGTGTGTCTGTGTGTGTATGTGTTTGTGTGTGTGTGCCTGTTGCCGTGGATTGGAGTGTGTGTCGTGCGTGGTGTGCGGCGTACGGTGCATGCCTGGCTGCTGCCCTCTCCTCATGTGGTGTGCCCTCTGTGTGTGTTTGCCGCACCTCTCGTCTCCCCTGTTGCTCTCCATCTCCCTCACTGTGCAGATCAGCTCCACACCACTGAACGACCACACTCACGATGATGACGATGTGCCGTCTGCTGTGCGCCCTGTTGGTGCTTGCCCTGTGCTGCTGCCCGTCCGTGTGCGTGACAACAAATGATGACGAAGATGATACTGAGACCACTATAACCTCTACAATAATTGGGCCAGATAACGGTCGTATCTCGGAGCCAAAGATGAAGTCCAATTCGCAAGAGTCAGCAGGTTTGGTGGAAGTGACGGAACAGGTTTTGGAAGAGGAGCCCGATGAAGGACTGGGACTAAATACGGATGTTGCTGCATTACAGTCAGAAAAAGCGGGCTCCGGTCCGGGAAAGGTTTCAGAAGAAATCCCCGGTCCGTTACAGGAACAAGATGCCGCCAATGCGGGAGAAGGTGTAAAAAATGCCAATACGGAAATAAAACCAAATAACACGACAACCACAACTACGACAAAGGCACCAATTACCACGACGACTACAACCACGACAAAGGCACTAACTACGACGACCACGACTACGACAACGACTACAGAGGCGCCAACCACGACTACCACCCGCGCACCGTCACGTCTTCGCGAATTCGACGGCAGCCTCAGCAGCTCTGCGTGGGTGTGTGCCCCGCTGCTGCTCGCCGTATCCGCGCTGGCGTACACCGCTGTGGGCTGAAGAGGTGTGTGCGGGCTGTGCGTGCCAGCACTCAACCGCGGGGATTTGTGCGCGCGTCCACTGTGGTCTGATGTATAAAGCAAGAGAAAATAATGATTGTGTTTTGCTTCACTTGCTTCTGCTGCCGTGCTGTGTGCTCCGCGTTGTGCCCCACATCCGCAACTTTGAACGCATCGCGGACACACTCGTATGCATGTGCAATTGAGCCCCTGGTTTTTTTTTTTTTTTTTTTGAATTCTTGTTTCTTATTGCTTTTTAAACTTCTGGTTTGCGGGGCGGTGTGCGAGTTCCGCAATCGTACTGATTTTATCTGTCCCATGTTGTGTGCGCTGCTGCTGGTGTGTTGACATTTGTTACTGTGCGGTGGCTGTTACTTTGGCTGTGTGACTCGTCTTTTCTTTTACTTCTTCTGCGTTGACGGGAAGTTAGTTTGTGCTGAAGGCTACACGCAAGTGACAGGAGTGATGGCGATGATGATGACTGGCCGTGTGCTGCTGGTGTGTGCCCTCTGCGTGCTGTGTTGCGGTGTCGGTGGTAGATGTGAGGCGGGGGTGGGAGTTGGTGCGCAACAGGATGGTGGTACGTCTCCGCCGGAATCAAAAGGACTTGAAACGTCTTCACAAGATTCCCAAGACTTAAAAGATAAGGCGCCAGTTGTTAAAGGAGAAGTACCACCCGCATCTCCCGGAATTAATGCTGAAGAAGAAGATGATGATGATGATGATGATGGTGAGGGAGACGGTGATGGCCAAGAAAATGGAGGGGTGGAAGTTGAAGAAAAACCAATAGGAAGGCAGGGTGGTCAAGGAGGAACAGCTGCACTGGGCTCGGATTCCAGGGAAACGAATTTAAGTGGCAGTGAGCAGGAAAATCACCAGGCAATTGTATCTGCAGAGGGCATTTCTCATTCCGACAGTCGGGAATCAAAAGCCATTCTTACGCAACCGGAATTTGAAGAAAAGAATGACTCCGACAAAAATACAACTGCAGTAGAGAATCCACTCACAACAGTTAACGGAGAGAACACACTGCCTGCGGGAGTTGCGGGAGGAAATCCTCCACCTCCAAAAGACGGTGTTGGTTCCCGCGAACAGGATGGCGAAGACACCACGAGTGAAGGTCAAAAAAATGTTCCGTTGCCAGAGTCCGCAGCCACACCACAAAGCCATCAAGACAAAGGCTCAGAAGGGACTGGAGAAGATACGAAAGCAACGACAGTAACCGCCAACACAACTGATACGACGAACACACAAACCAGTGACGGCATCACCGCTGTCTCCCACACCACCTCCCCTCTTTTGCTTCTTCTTCTTGTTGCGTGTACGGCTGCGGCTGCGGTGGTGGTGGCCGCGTGAGAGTGAGGGAGAGAGAGCCGTGCACCGCCCGCACACACACTCGTCCTTCACCCACTCTCTGTGTGTGTCCCCTTGCATGGACTCTCGCCCTCACCTCATCCCACGAAGCACACACATAATGTGCCCATTGTATATATTGCATGCACACCCATGCAGGCCCGTTGGTGCTCTCTTTTGCACGACACGCACCGCTGCCGTCCTGCCTGGCTGCATGGGCGGAGCACCGTAACTGTTTCTGTTTTGTTTTTATTGCATTGAGTGGGCGACCTCTCTCTCTCTCTCTCCCCCTGTGTGTGTGTTTTGCTTTACGGGAGCAATGAGAGTGTGTGCGCTGGTCGTCCCACGCTTCGGTTTTATTTTTGTTTTAATTGTGTTGTGGTTGAGTGCACCCATTCTGCCTTTTTGATTGGCGGCATGCTTTGAGTGCATATGCCTGAATATTTGTTTTTGTTTTCATATTGTTTATCCTGCCGAGGAAATGGCAACTACTCGTATTCTTGTAAAGCCACCGCGTTTTTTCTTCCAAATAAGCCATGCGGCAGTTGATCCACGTCACCCCACAGTTGACTGCAGCGGTTTTGGTGCTGCTTGTGATGATGCCTGCGACGCGGTTGCCAGCGGGTGCCTCGTTTTCACTCTGGTGTATTCCTTTTTCTTTCACAATGTGGTGCGTACCGACGGTGCGTGGGCGTCTCTGGTGGCAGTGAGGCACGTGCGCCTCACAGCGCAGGAGATGCGTTGCAGGTGTAGCACGTCGTTTTAAATAGCCAATGGGCGTCTGTTCCCGTGAAGGCGACAACAACGGCCCGGATGGCAGCAGGAGGCATTGCGGCTTTGTTTGGTGTTGCAGGGCGGCTTTATTTAACAGTGCATTTGATGTTAATTTTGTGGGACTTTTGTGGGAGAAGGTGGGAGATTGAGGGCATGAGGACTGAATTCCTTTGAGTGGCTGCGCTCCGTTGACTTGCGGCCAGTCGTTGCTCTCTTTTGGGGTTTGGCCGCCCGTCTCTTTTGTTTACTTCCCACTGCAGCATGTGGATAACACTGATCCGAAGAACATTTGTTTAGACGGGTGTGGGCTGCTGCCGTGCGTGGTGCGTGGACTATTTGATTGTGTGGGGAGGTGCGTTGGGGTGACGAATACTTCTGTTTTGCGTGTCGCGGTGTGTCGGAATGATGTTCGGATGACATGTGGAGGGTGTTGTTATTGTAGTTTGTGTGTCTTCTCTGGTGGAGCCGACATGTGTGCGGGGATTGTGGCATTGCTGGCTGACAGCTCCACGTCACTTTTCGGCATTCCTGGATGTGCTGAGGAATGACGGCTGGCGACCAGCGTGTTGTTGCTGCCGGTGGGAATAAGTGCATCGGGAATTGGTCGTTTTCTCTTTTCCGTGCTGGAGCCGATGGACTGGCACGAGGGCACCGGCTGCAGGCTGCCTGCCAGCACGTGTGAGCAGCGGATCCATGCACACACCGACGCTCATCGCAAGAGCTTGTGCAATCACAGTGGCCTTTGTGGCGTGCTTTTGTGGGCGTCAGCCCATCGAAGAATGTGTGAAACAAACGGCTGACTGCACACGAGGAAAATAAGTGCGTGCACTGTGCCGTGTTTCAGTGTCGATGGCAGGGTGGCAGGAGGCCCGTGCTGGCAACTGAGACCTTTGCGTCGCGAGGGATGTCGGTGTTGAATTTGGATCGTCGAGGGTGAAGTGATTTTGCTGCTGCCCGTGTGTGTGGCCACTCCGGCAGAGGGCGGACACAAAAGGGAGGGATGCAGACGCTGCGTGTGTGTGTGCAGGTGCCATGCAACAACGTCACAACAAACATGCTGCGACTCGGTGACCCTCACATCGTTGTGGTCCTCACGAACAGCCGAGGCACGGCCCACACCGATGCACTTAGTGGACGGACTGAGGCATCTTTTGAGGCGCTGCAGGGAACAGGATGCTTTGACGCAGCCACGACGTGCATGGAGTGTCACGATGGCACAGTCGGCTGTGGCTGGTGGAATATTTACTTCTCGGAGGCAACAGAGAGAGAGAGAGAGCTGCTCCTGCCGCTGGCGTCGTTGCTGCCTTTTGTTGCCTCCCATGCCGATTATTGTCTGTCCGCTGATCATAGGTGCTGTGCCTCCACTAGTGACGTCGTCTGCAGGCATTTCACAGCACCAGTGAAACACACATCACGTCGCATGCTTTGGCTGTGGATGTGGTGTTGTGAATGCAGCCGGCATTATTTTGCCCGACTCCTTTTCACTGCTTTGCGACGAATAGATGCGTCGCCGCCCGAGTCATTCACTGCAGCTCCGTGTGTTGTACTGCCAGCACAAGACTCTCTTGTTGTCTGACGCCTGGCTGACAGTCAAGCACCACTGCGTTGGGAAATGCAAGGATGTGGACTGCCGCTCACGGTGTTGGGCACCGCTGTTTGGATGCGGCGGCCACACGAGCGGATGTATTGTGGCACAATCAAATGCGTGAAATACGCGGGATCACAGCGGCTGCAATAATATCGACGGTGTGGCACCACGGAATATGTGAGAGGAGGTGATGCATGATGAATCACAGTGGGCGGCATGCGAGGGAAGTGCACCGCGACGGAGCGTCATCCCGCCCTCAGCCTGCAGGGTAATGTGCACCCACAAAATATATGGACGAGACGCCACCAAACACACATGCCCTTCCATGCACCAATAAATAGGAGCGAAGGTGCGTTCTGGTGCGTGGGAGTCCACTCACATATTATTTGTTTCCACCGCAATAAACGGTGAGGAATCAGGTGCCACAGCAACGAAAGGAAAAACAAAAGCATCTATTGCAACACTTTACCGGCGAAAGGCAGGAACAACACAAACCGAATTATTGGCTGCAACAACACAAGAAACATTCACAAGAGGAAAGAAAACAAATTTTGCACCCTGCAGGAATCCCCAACACACGATCCAGGCATGAAGGTTTGCCCTCCGCAAGAAAACAAGAACAAAACATGCGGACATCTGCCAACATCCAAACAGAAACACAAATAAATGGTTGCTTGATTTATTCCATTCCCTGCGCTTATATTTTTGAGCGTTGCGGCTGCTGCTGTAGTGGTTACCGGGCCTGCATGAAGTGGTGTGCGCTGAATATGAACGACGGCCAAACACAACTGAATTATTTTTGTGATGAATATTGGCTGCACTTCCCGTGGACCAACAATCCACGTGGTGTGCGGGGATCTTCTTTTTATTGTTACTTTGCTTTTGTGTTGCTGTGTGCGCTGCACCTCCTCTTGTGTGTGTGCGTACCCTCCGTGAGGCGTGCAGACACGACGGACCGCTCTCGCCGTATGTACATGCGGTGGAGCCTTGTGTGCCGCTCCTGTTTGCTTCTCCCTCTTCCATCTGTGTGTTGGTGTTGCGGCAGGTTTGTGTGTGTGTGTGTGTGTGTGTGTGTGCCTGTTGCCGTGGATTGGAGTGTGTGTCGTGCGTGGTGTGCGGCGTACGGTGCATGCCTGGCTGCTGCCCTCTCCTCATGTGATGTGCCCTCTGTGTGTGTCTGCTGCACCTCTCGTCTCCCCTGTTGCTCTCCATTCCCCTCACTGTGCAGATCAGCTCCACACCACTGAACGACCACACTCACGATGATGACGTGCCGTCTGCTGTGCGCCCTGTTGGTGCTTGCCCTGTGCTGCTGCCCTTCTGTGTGCGCTACAGAGGAAGAAGATGTGACCGAAAAAGAAACCGTTCCAAAGGATGACGAGAAGGAGGACCCAGGCCATGTGACGGATCCGCTTCTTACAACTTCTCCTTCGCCACAAAGAAGCCAGGAGAAAAAAGGGAAGGAGATACAGAAACCAAATACACCGACTCATACGTCACAGGAAACGGCTACAGTAACCGGAACGGCACAGTCCAAAAGTAATCCCAATAAGGTACAGGAACAAGAAGATGGGCAATCCACTAATGAAAAGACCGAAAATACGAACACTAACACGCCAAATGAACAACATAAGGAATCAAATGCACCAACTACGACTACGACCACTACGACAGAGGCACCAACTACTACGACTACGGAGGCGCCAACCACGACGACCACCCGCGCACCGTCACGTCTTCGCGAAGTCGACGGCAGCCTCAGCAGCTCTGCGTGGGTGTGTGCCCCGCTGCTGCTCGCCGCATCCGCGCTGGCGTACACCACTGTGGGCTGAAGAGGTGTGTATGGGCTGTGCGTGCCAGCACTCAAAGCCACGGGGACATGTGTACGTCTACTGTGGTCTGATGTATAAAGTAAGAGTAATTATGATGATTGTTTTTTTTGCTTTACTTGCCTCCGCTGCCGTGCTGTGTGCTCCGCGTTGTGGCTCCCTGTATCCGTCACGTCGAACGCATCGCGGACACACTCGTATGCATGCGCACTGGAGCTCCCGGGTTTTTTTTTCTTTATTCTTGTTTCTTATTGCTTTTTAAACTTCTGGTTTGCAGGGCGGTGTGCGAGTTCTGCAATCGTACTGATTCCAACTGTCTCGTGGTGTGTGCGCTGCTGCTGGTGTGTTGACATTTGTTACTGTGCGGTGGCTGTTGCGTGGCTGTGTGACGTGTCTTTTCTTTTACTTCTTCTGCGTTGACGTGTTGTTAGTTTGTGCTGAAGGCTGCACGCAAGTGACAGGAGTGATGGCGATGATGATGACTGGCCGTGTGCTGCTGGTGTGTGCCCTCTGCGTGCTGTGGTGCTGTGGTGCGGTGCCTGTGGGGTTTATGCAAGGGAACTTGACAACAACGCAGTGGGTGGCTGCATGGCATCGGGTGTGTTGGGAATGAGAACACTTTATTTGTCGAGCGGTTGCAATAAAACCACACCGACGCCGCCATTGCGATCAGCATTCTTCATCGATGCCATACAAGCCGAAGAAAGGGAATTAAAAGATATTTCTCAGGAACGTAATAGTTTGGGTTCAGTTTCAATTCCACCACCACCGCCGCTGCCAGCGCCAGAAACACTGGAAGCCCCACCACCACT